CAGTTTTTCAGAATTTTATTGTGTTTTGGAATTTACATAACTGCAGATTTATCAGAGAGCTGGCTGAAAGCTCATGTATTGTTTGAATATTTAATAAAGTGAAACAAAGTAGGGTTAGGTGAATATTATAATTATCTGAAAAGTTTGAATCATTCCTTGAATCCACCCAATCAGGTAGCTTTTTTCAAAATACTCGTATATGTATCTCCTAACAGATATACCTTCATAGATTTTGGCACAATACATATATACATATACACAATTGTACACATTATCAGTATTATAATACATAATGTATAGAGCAGTGCTTATCTAATTTTTTTTTGTTCATACCACCTGATTTTGTTTTCTCTCTGTGGACCACAATGGGATCTAGACACTATAATTCTGTTTCCTTTCCATGGACCATCTTATGGAGGCTCTCGGACCACACATTAAGAACCACTACATATTTTTCACGTGTCAGGAGAAGCAAGGTAACCAAACATTAATCTTTTGCAGTACTGGGGATTCAGAACTGGAGTTCTTAATAAAATGACTTGGTTTCCAATATTCAGTTGCCTGAGAGTATAACACATCATCGTTATGGAATGTACCAACTTCTTGACTCTCATCCTTGTTGTACTTTCCGTTCCCATAACTAGAGCTATTCTTCCAAACATCAGTTTCTTCAAAACACACTAACTCTTGAAAAGGCCTGAAACAACGATCACAAGTATCAAAACCAACATAATTTATGTTTTCAAACTTGCATGATTATAAAAAAAATGTTATTGTGAATTAAATCCAAAGCTATTTCACTTCCCGTCTTTTCCTTGTTTTATCAAGTTCATTTATTTGGTCAATACCAGTCAAAACATATGAAACATGCTTAAAAGTGTAAATATAAAAGGTGATGGGAGATAATGACAGAAGACTAACGTTCTAGTCAATATAAGCAGTCACTTTTATTTGCCTTTACAAGACCTGTTGAATTATACAAATCACAATATAATGACCACTTTTCACTTGTTATAAATATTTTAGCCTACAACTATCTATTACCTTTACTACATCACCAAAAAACAAACAAATGGAGATAAAAAACAGTGTTTAACAAACCTAATCAACCAACTCTTTTATAACTTGTCACAGGGTTATCTTTCTAACTATCATACAACTATGAATTTATATTGTACCAGTCAAAGTCATGAAATGTTTTTCAGGCCTTTTATGTGTTTTAGAAAATTCTTTACAACTAAAGAGTTAGATTACTGACCCAAGTGCATTTTACAACAAGCATCAAAACACTCGTGAAAAATCAAAACACATTCAGTGTGAAATGGCTTTCCAATTGTTGTCTTAAGAAAATATGTTGTTTAGATGTACATCTTTGTTCAGAACATGCATGTGATGTGATCCTAACAAAGGAAAAAGTCTGGAAAAATTACATAAAAATAAAAATCATTTTTTAACAATACAAGTTCTATTTAATGAAATTTGTTGTATTCGAATTATCAAAATTATCACAAATGTTGGCTTTATTTTTACAACAGGAATTGCAAGAAATATTAAGGGGGTAAAGCCATAACATTGTGCAGTTATGAACAGAAACAAATGTACGTTTGTTTGTTTGTATTGAATTTCGCGCAAAGCTACACGAGGGCTACCTGCGCTAGCCATCCCTAATTTAGCAGTGTAATACTAGAGGGAAGGCAGCTAGTCATCACCACCCAATTCCAACTCTTGGGCTACTCTTTTACCAACGAATAGTGTGATTGACCATCACATTATAACACCCCCCACAGCTGAAAGGAGGAGCATGTTTGGTGTGACGGGGATTCGAACCCGCAGATTGCAAGCCGAGTGCCCTAACCACCTAGCCATGCCGAGCCACAAATGTGAACCTTGTACAGTTATACGTATAAAAAGTTATTTATGTTGACATAAATGCAAACATTATGCAGTTATTTACAGTCATTAATGTTGGTTGAAATATATGATTAGAAACAGCAATGTCACAGTATTTGATAATGTCAGAATGTTTTTACCATCATACCATACCCCACACTTACACAGCGTTTCCTACTTAAGTAATTTAAGAAAAAAAAAACATGTTCAGTTAATATAAATATAAATTACAAGTGTAACAATAGAGATCTTCACAAAGTGATGATAAATAAAAATATCGTGTGATTTTGAAGAGTGGTGTCTTCATTGTGAGCACACTCCATTACTGACAGATGAGGGAGAAAAAATCTGCTTTTATATAATTCATTACTATTACTCACAGTGAGATATTCATAATGTCAATGTCTATACTTGTATGTACATAACAGTGTAAGCAAATATTTCATTAACTATCTGTCAAGAACTTAGATTGATTTTGAAAGAAACAATTTTTTGTTTTACTCATAACATAGTTTTGGATGTTAGTAGTACAGTTCTAGTAGGTAAACATAAAAACAAATATATATATATATATACACCAATCAGGAATTGCAACAGAAATTCCTAAAATGAGATTTATCCCATGAACTGTGTCTGTTAAATTCATAAATGTTCGAAATAATAATAAAGTTGAATTCATTTAGAGCACTGGTTCATAAAATGCTTGAGTTTTCAAACTAAAATTTTTTTTTTAATAGCAAAATTTAACAGAACATTGCAATAATCTTTAAATTTCAATCTGTACTTTAGTCCTAGTTTCCATTTCTTCAGATAGTTTTAGACATTAGAGAATGTCAACAATGTCAGTCATCAGCTAACCATTCAACAATTAAAAAATAACAATACATGAAATCAGGACCTCACAAGCCAATTGACAATATCTCAAGAATTCTGCTAAATTCAGTCTCTATAATTTGGTAATCAAGAACTGAGACCAATTAGCCGAGCTGGTCGAAGTATCTAACTACCAAGCAGGGTCACAGATTTGAATACTACACCTCTACTCCCACTTTTCAGTATGACAGGACATCTCTACCATGTCATCTTTAATTAAAATAATGTCATTCAATGCAGTTTTCTTAAGAAACACTTTATGTATCATATTTCATTTATCAACTAATCTCTAGTACTACATTTTAGTCACAGAGCAAGTATTATAGATGGCATTTTCCAAATAAAACAAACATGCAACAATCAGAAATTCTAAATTTACAATACACTATATGCTGAACAACTTCTGCTACAATGTTAGTCGTAATGTTTTTAAAGCTTGCTAAGAATTTGCTTCATCATTTCGTACTTCATTTGAATTATGTTGATAGGAAAAGAAACGTTTTTAATGGAACAAGATGAGGTGGGCATAGTTAAATCATTTTACACTTGACTGTATTAAATATCTTTTTCTGTTTTTGTTATCCAAGTTTTTCTTCTCCTGAGCAATGTGACGGCACAGTGAATATAAAAATCAGGGTACAGGCATTCTTCACATATGCAATATACATACTAAGCCATACCGATACAATAAGTATCCAATATCAAGGAAAACTTTCTGTCTGTCTGTGGATGTATCTCCTCCTACCCGAGTTGATCGCTCAAGACCAAACTTGGCATGCTAATTTAGTTGTCGAAATGCAATCCAATTTGTATTAAGTAAAATTTTGGCTTATTTCTCATAATAACTAAAATATACAGTAATAAAATATCCAGCCACAATGGGGAGAATAAAGGTATCGCTATGGTTTCAATTTCCTGCTCACTGCTGATTCACAACAATTAACTTCCAGTTCATACTACGACTAAAATAAGTATTTATGCCTGAATCAGAAAAATATTTCGTAATTAAACTATTTTCTAGGATACTCCTTACTTCTTGATGTAGAATATAGTTTTCCAAAGAAACAAAATTGAAGATTATTATTAAATTTCATGCATTAAATATACCAAATTCAGACAATATAAATCTTAACCACATCTCTACTGGGAAATGGGCTGCTCAGAACAAGAGGTGACGCAACTGCTTTGTTGTTTCCGTCAACTTTCTCGACTTTACCGCTACACCTCCTCACTTCTGATCCAATTCTTGTCTTAAAACAATTTTCCTAGAGAATGAATGAATGTTAATGAAAATCTTCACAGAAATTTTGTTCATTTTGGCAAATTTGTGTGTGTTTTCAAGAGAAAAAAATGGAAGAGTGCAGTCACCTTAAAATAACCTGCAAAGACATTTAAAGAGCTTCAAAAAGAAAGCCATTATGGACTGAGAGTTCACTTTTACTCATAGACTTTCATTGGGTCTGTTGAGCAGAGCTGGGTATGCAATTTGCTGCTTAAAAAATTAAGCAAATTGCACAATTACATAATTTTAGCAACAAATGACCAAGCTATTATCACCTTATTCTGACCTCTACACAATCCCCCCCCCCTGAAATAACTACCTGTTTTACTTTTGCAATTTAAAATAATTGGGGGGGGGGAGGGCTTTCAACAACTTGCTCAAAATACACTGTAATAGCACCTACACAGATCATACGAAGACAAGATGCTACAGTTTAACAAAAGTTGTAAAGTATTTTCCTATATCCGAAAGACGTAGCTTTCTCTATAGGATTTAACAATTGGAAAAATGCTCAACATGAAGTTTCTGAACATGAAAATAGCACTGATTTTAAGGATGCCATGTTTTTTTGTACTGTATTTAGTGAAATACATGGTCATGTTAAAAAAGAACAACAATACTAGCGATGTGTTATGCAACATGTTGTCCCAGCTATTAAAGTTGCAGAAAGAGAACTGGCATCTCAGCATCAAAATGAAATATTTTGCTCATTTTACAATGAAAATTTTGCAGGCATTATAGAACTGCTTGTAAAACATGATCCATTCACTGCTATGTAATAAAGCCAGATTTAGAAATGCAAGTAAAGAGATAGCTTCGTATTTTTCATTCACAATTGGTAATTATTTCATTCAACCAAATGGAACAAAGGGTTTTATAAGTCATTGCTGCAGAGTTAAAGACAACAACGTATTTTCAGTTATTGTGGACTCCATATGTCTCGTGAATGGATCGGTTAAAATTTATAATTTAGTACAATGGTACCAAGGGCAAACTCATTGAAAGAATTTTGATATTTAAACCATTGCACGGTCAAGGAGCTGAAAATCTTGCACAGCATCAGAAACATTTTCAAGAATTGGAAATTTCTATTGATGACTGTCATTGTCAAATTTAAAACAATGCAAGAAGTATGGCTGGAAAATACAGTGGTCTATGAGAGTGGATAGAAAAAAAAATCACTCATTACCTAAATTTGTGTTCTGCTCATTTCTTAACCTCATGTTCAGTCTTAGGTTCCTTACCTTAGAAAGGGCATTGAACTATTCAAAAGGGTTTCAGAAAAGGGCTACAGAAATGAAAAGGTTGTCTATAAGGACATGTCAAGATCTCTGAAATTGTTTTCTCTTGCAAAAAGAAAGGTTAGAGGAAGATCTGATTGAGGTATGTAACTCCTTAAAAACCTGAGCTGACACTTCCAGCATCCAGTCCAAAATCCCGATTTACCTATCGGATGACGCTGTGTTTCTTTGGCTGAAACCTAATCCAAACCATGTTATTGTCCACTTTTTATAAATAAACTGGAAGTTCTGCAAAGTGTTGTCATTTGTTTTGAAACAAATTTCAGATCAACACATTGTGTTTGAGACTGATTTTTTCAGTGTTTTCTCGTGAAGTCTAATAATTTGTTAATATCAATTGTAAAATAAAGATGACAAGTGGAAAGAGGCCATTGAAACGATTTTGTGCTGAGCAAGCAGCAAGTCTGTTCAATCAGTTAGTTGAAGGAGGGAGTGATGATGAAGGTGATTCTGATCTTGAATTTGACTTTGGAAGAGACTCAGAACAATCACTGAGACCAAATTCCAGTTCTTCTCAATCAGCTGATCAGAGAGGAGCATTGCCCCAACCAGGACCTAGTGATACAAAGAGGCCACAAAAGTGGGCCCCAGCTAGACCTGATTCACCTCCTTGATCTATATCCACTACCAAGGCCAGAGATTATGATTAGGCTGAGGTAGATCTGCAAGATAGGTCAGCCACAAATCGTTTGAATATTTGCCGAAGAACAGGCATGATCCTGGTGTACATGCTCATCAACGATAATTCATAATTCAACACCTCTCGAATGTTTCAAAGCTCTGTTTACAGAAGATGTAAATAACACTCTCATCACTGCTATCAACAAGTATCCAAAATACAAGATGCAAAGAAAATGCCTACTCAGAGTCGGTCAAGATATTTGAACTGGACTCCCTTTACCCACTATAAGCTGCTTAAGTTCCTTGCGATGACATCACTGGGCATCAACAAATGAGCTTCCATTCAGGATCACTTTACCACCCACCAGTCTCTCTACACACCTTTCTATCACCAAAGGTTCAACAGGGAGTGGTTTTAGGCTACTCACTCAACACTGTTACATGTAGGTATCTCTGATGCTGAAGGAAAAAAAAAAAACATTAAGAAAATTGAAATTTTATAAGGTATGGTGAAAATTTTTATGAAATCGTGAAAATAATACCAGCAGAATGAGCAAAACCTTCTAGGTTTAAAGAGCTAAGTGTTATGTGAACTGATAGTGTTGATGCATCATCATTTCTAGTACTTAATGATGAGAATGGTTAGTGGACACAAATATAAATTTTGGCAGGGTAGGAGTCATTTTGAGCTAAAACAGTTTTATTTTTCTAACAGGATAGTTGGCCTTTAGAATGGGTGGCCTTCAGATGTTGTAGAGGCAGTTGATACAACTTTAAAGGAAGGCATGATAAATATTTGAATAATAAGGGCTGGATTTGAGTGTTTGGGACAGCCTAGATAGACCAACTGGTCCCTTATTGTCCTTAAATTATATCAATTTATATATTTTGATAAAACGAATAGTTTACATTAGTTTTTGAGTTTTAAGTTTTTAAATTTAGCAGTGCTCAGTGAAGAGTTACAATTAGATCTAATAACAATAGAAGCTTTAAAAATTATACTTTAAATTACATTGTCATATATGTCACATATCCCTACAAATTAATTTTATTTCATGCTGTTCTGTCATCCAAAAAGACTTAAATACAACTGTATTATTTTCAGTTACAGCTGTTCGTGAATCAAATACCACTCAATTCTCCAAGATTTTAAGATTTTGTTTAACTGTTTGAGTCACTGTTTTTAGAAAATTTGTTTTTACCTTTAAATAAAATCATAAATTTCAATGTTTTTCATATGCAACAAATTAAACTTTGACTATTTTAAGTCATAGACCAATCACTTTTTTTCAGATTTACTCTTACGTCAAAGACTGAAAAATTCCATTAACAAATTTGCTGTCATGTGCCCCACTGGTGGGTCACAACTGTCTTTTAGTTATGGACTGTGTGCACACCGGTGGGTCACAACTGACTTTTAGTTATGGACTGTGTGCACACCGGTGGGTCACAACTGACTTTTAGTTATGGACTGTGTGACACACCGGTGGGTCACAGACAGTTATGTTTCAAAGCTAAATTTCTCTTGTGGCATACGAGTTTGGGACACTTTGACTGCTCCTCAGCACCTTTTGAATGTTTAATTCTATTTATACTTAATTTATTAATATTACTGGTGGTAGCGAACGTGTTAATAATATTATTAACCATAACGACCTTAATTATGAATATTTCAATATTTCTTCATATGACTTTGCTTAAACAGGACACTCTTTACATTACACTTGAGTTGTTTTATATGTACATTTTATTTCATTTTGTTCAGGACAGTTTAGTGTAGTCAGTTTTGGACTAATTATCTCACTTTCTTCCAAGCTGACACTACAGCTGCCCTCTAGTGGGATATATTGTTCATTGCTACCATTTCCTATTTTAACAAAGCATAAATATTTTTGTCCTGGATCAATCAAAACAATACGACTTTTCTGCTCTTCTAGAGAATGAGAACCTATCACTGACCTTTGTTGAAGAGAGTATTTTCTTTTATTAGTTCTCCATACTTCAATGTTTCCAGTTGGGTGACACATTAAGTAATATATGAGCTGAAATATTCACAAAAAACAAAGAAGTCAGTTTTGAAACACAGAGATATTCAGGGTATTTTCCACTACAGTCACTCTAGTCTAAACCAATAAATATCAATACAAGCTTTATTTTAGTAAGTACACAATAAATGAAAACATAACAAAACATAGACTGTTCAAAATATTACTTGCTAAAAACTATTATATTTCCAACTTGAATCATTCTGTATGCAACACATGGGTTCAGGCATAGTCATCCCTAAATTAGAACTGCTGATGAGACTGAGTCCACTGTCCAACCAGTCAAAAATGCCAACTGTCTAACTTTATACATTACAGTTTAAATGCTGAAAACCAACAGGCATAAAAAATTGTTATAAAAGTGTACTTTTGACTTTGTGCTGCAAATTAAGAGGAAACTGGGTGGGGTGGGGGGTCTGCAGGTAATTTGGTTTTTGTGGAGTCCAGCCCAACTAATAGGTTCTGGCACTGAATAAAAAGCTTATTGGGCAGTGACTTGTTGGAGACAAAACAAAGAGCTAATTATATATATATACACACACCTCTGATTCCAAATCCCAATGGATAAATTAAGAGGAATGTGGAACAAAAAACATATGTAGTTATGTTGTTTTATATCAATTTTTAGGCCTATTGGCTTTCTGCATTTAAACTGTTGTCCTTTTAATGTTATATTTAAAGTATCATACCACATATATAAATGACATATCATAGAGTCCTTTGTCTCTCAATGATGAGCTCTGGTTCTGAATGAAAAGCTTATTGGGCAGTGACTTGTGGAAAACAAATAATAGATCTAAAATGCTATTTTTTAAACACCTGATTTCAAGTTGCAGTGGAGAAATTAAGAGGAATGTGGAAAACAACATATGCAGTTAACTTGTTTTTATAACAATGTATTAAATGTTTGATGGTTTATTGTGGTAACAAGAAATATAATAATAATGATACACAGCTGCTTATAACATGTATGCACTGACACTTTTTAAACCTTTCTTTAAATTGTTGAAAATGCATAAAACACAGAATTCCTGTCTTCAAAAAAAATAAATAATCCACCATTATCTGAAATAACATAAGAACAAGTGACCAAGCAGGACAATCACGAAAAAGTAAATTTCTAAAATACAGGACAAACAATGGGTTTTCTAAAATAGAAAAACTTAAACCTTAAATGTAAAGTAGTGCATACTAGTTACAAACAAACTATTCTTATGTTACTGACTTTAGTAATTATAAGTTTTCTATTAGTTAAATATAGGTCAGAAATTTAGGCTCTTACCAATCATAAAAAGGAAATAGTCTTCATTACTGATGTTTTTTCTCTCATTCCACTTTAAAAGATGTTAACATAAAAAACAAACAAAGTTCAACAATTTAAAACAATGCAAACACAAATATAGAGAAATTACCTGTACCATACATACCATAAAAACAATTCCAACGGAAAACTGGTAAACTGGAAGCACATTGCAACCACATGATACCAAAGATCAGGACTTGAGTTATAATACCAAATAAACATAAGAATGGTATTTTCTATAAATACCAAGATGTAATATATAGTGATTCGTGATCGAGTAGGGCTATCCACTGGATTAAAGTAACAAAAAATGAACTGAACTCCTATTACAGCATCATACAGAAACTCTTCATACCTGAAAAAAAAAAAGTTAACTAATCAAAATTAAACATATTTTTTGTTAAATAAAGAATAAAAAAAAGGTTTACTCTCTTATTTTGACAATAGAATAAGTCTTCCTTTAGAACTAGTACTACAGAAAAATGGAGACAACTTTGTGCTGATGAATACTGAGAAAAAGCTTTGAATAACAATGTTTATAGTCACTACAATAATTGTATTATTTGATTCTCTAAAATGTATTACTAAAAGTATAATTTATGCACCCACGAAAACTTAATTACTGTTATATAACATTTTGCTATTATAGGGCAAAGTATACACTTATCCAATTATACTTTTACTAATAAATCCAACTGTAGTGGTGAATCATAATTAGTTTCAGGAAAAGGAGAGTGTTGAACCACCATCATGACTCTAGTAGATAAATAAAGTGATATGATACAATATGAAGCTAGATGTAACTGTACTTCTTATAATTACATGTAAAGAAGCTTGACAAAGCATAATATTATTCAAAAAACAGCTCTAACCTTTTCCATTCTGAAAGAACAAGACTTTCTAGTTTCAAAGTAGTTCAATTTCGAATAGATTTTGAAACAAAATAATAAAAGTACTTTCTCATATTTAGATATAACATCAAATAATTTGAGAGCAAGTACAATGTGAAAAACTGATAAATCATGTATAAATACTGTTTGGAAAAAATAAAAATAAAATATAAGTACATTTATATCTTCGTAAAACCAAATCTCTTGTAGCCAAAAATGTTTGATACCTGTTTATAACATGGTTCCCATGCTTTGGGTCGAATGAAATTCCCTGACTTTTCCATAATCTTTCCCTGATCAAAATGTGTTATTCCCCACCAAACCAGTTGATCTCTGCTCCTAATACATCATTCAATTACTTCTTAGCATAATATGTGGAATTGAAAAACATTATTCATGCATTGTTTAATAAAGACAAAACAGGCTGTATTTTAAGGGTAACAGTTTGGTAACTATCCAAAATGTAAGGTGATGCATGGAGGTTTTCACAATTCAAATTATTGTTACAATTTAAATGGTTATACATTAAATACTGTGGTTGAAGAAAAATATCTTGGTGTTGTGGTAGAAAAACCATTTAAGTCATCTAAACAGTGTATTGTAGCTAGCAATAGGGCTAATATGATTTTGGGTAGCATCTATAGAAATATTGAATACAAAACAAGTGATATTATTGTTTCACTGTATAGATCACTTGTAAGGCTTCATTTAGAGTACTGTGTACAGTTATAGGCTCCCTTCCTCAAGAAGGACATTAAATTGTTGGAGATAGTTCAGAGAAGAAACATTAGG